CAAAGTGAACACACAGAWCAAGAAGTTGCACCAGAAAGTGCAGTAGAGGAGGAAACAGCCACTACTGAACAAGACTCCGAACTTGATTCTTCCGATAGCAATCGGGCTTCAGCAACCAATATGGATGTTGATGCACAATTGCAACCCTCCCATCCCTGTTACGGAAGGGATTAGTATATATACAAATGTATCATAATTCAAAAACCACATATTACTCTTTGCTGCATTAAAGAACGTAAAACTTAATTTAAACAAAATTTTGAATCAACGATAAAAGCAACACGTGATCGTTCGAAAGATTAAATTTATTCTTGACAATTACAAAATTAATGAAAGAAATAAAAAAAAAATTATATAAACACTGCTATCTTTGCTTACATTGATGCGATGCAATAAAACTGTGTCAAATTAAAAATATGTGTGCTGAAGACAGTTTGATTTAAAAAAAAAATAAAGCTTTGAAATAAACTGTATTACTTATTGAAATAAAACTTCTAAGGGCGCGATGACGAATTATTTCAAGCGTTTAATGTTTTTGTCTATAATAAAAAYCTCTATTAAAGAAGATTTGAAGATGTTTGAGGGAAAATAATGAAATATGTTTAATTATTCTGGTACAACAAAATAAAAATCGAATATCTTTAATTTTTAATTTTTAAAGAATACACAAATTACTATTTTATCAAATTAAACGGCGAAACTATTATTACGTTCGGAGGCTTACMAATAAAAAATATTGAAAAAAGATTAAATGAAATGGGAGTTACATGAAAATCACTTACATTGAACATTGYCATTGTTATACAACAGTGAAAATTAGTTATTGTGACTTTTTTGTTCAGAAAATAATATAATTATCATATAAATAAAGTAAATCATATAAACAAATAATTTTAACATGCATACGTAGATTAATGTATTTTGAATGGCAATATTGTATAGTAGAAACAAAAATGATGTCCTGATAAACAATCTTTAATTTACGCAAAATATTTCCTGAAAAATTGAAAAATTTAAAATAATTTTCTTTATTAGAAATACTAATTAGCCATATAACTATTTCTTGCATTTAATTATGTATATTATGATAAAGCTCTAATAAATGCACTATTAATGGGCAGCTATTTATTATTGTAATATAATCTTAACTTCGGGGCCAATCGTATACAATACGTTTTTTCTCCAGTGTAAATTTATTTGAACTGATGGTCAATTATGTTGCGCTGAATTAATTATTTGCAAATGTTTATATAAACAACATGTAGTTGTTTGCTTTGTCTAATTGTGCGTAAGTCAGAAGTGACGAATATAACTTCTACAATTAAAGACCACTCATGAATTACTTATGTGCAATGATTATTACTTATTTGAATTGTATAGTCTTATTCTTAAGTCAAACATAATCTGCTTCGCCCACATGGAATTGTGCTTATAAATTACAGCCTGTGATAAAAATAATTAAATATTAATGAGTGATCTTCATTTGGCGGATGTATTACGAATGTATGTTTGTATACTAAGAGGATGAATTTTGCAATGTTATTTCTCTTTTCTACTTTGCAAGAAGTTAAACACTTCTTTGTTTATACTATTTTGAAATGTGATGAATCTCCACCACTTCACTTGGGCCCTCGAATAGCTTGATGATTTTTACTACTAAATACGGGAGCGATAATGTGGTTTAACAGAACATGTAGACTGGTTTCCCCTATTTTTGGCTCTAATAATATGTGTTATGCAGTAATATGTTAATAATGTGTCACAATATATGACCGATAAATGCGTAAAAATGAGATTTAGAGTTATATATATTTACATATAATAAATCTTTGTTACTAATTGAACATGCAACAAAAAAATTTTTTTTTTAAGTGGACGTGGCCTCACTCTTCTAAAAGATTAATACCCATCTTAATTTGTGAAAAAATATTTTTTTTTATCTTTCTTGCTAACATACCCCGAGAAATAGATTCTTAGATACTTCTACAATAATCTTTCAAAGTACGAGTTCTTTTTTTATTTAATTTGAAAATTTTTTTTAAACTTT